CAGACAAGAGGTGCTTCCAAGTACTTCTTGCCGCTGTACATCATCACCATTCCGATTGTCTTTTATTTCTTTGTGTTCTCCCTGGATGCGCTTGAGCCTGATTCTCTCCGAGATCATGGCTGGATTTTTGAAGGACCACCAGCCGACGAGCCGTGGTGGTACTTCTATACGTTATACAGTAAGCCGACCCTGACTCACGTGTCCAACTCTTTGCTAACGCCTTGTTCTAGAATTCAATATGGTCGAGTGGGATGCCGTCTTGGAGTGCATTCCTGCAATGTTGGCACTCACCTTCTTCGGCATCCTCCACGTTCCCATCAATGTCCCGGCCCTGGCCCTACAAACTGGGGAGGACAATGCGGATCTCGACCGCGAGCTGAAGTTGCACGGCTACTCCAACTTCATCTCTGGCCTGTGCGGAAGTATTCAAAACTACCTTGTCTACGCCAACACCGTGTTTTTCATGCGGTCTGGCGGAGACAGCAGGCTTGCTGGCGTCATGCTAGCAGCCTTGACCTTTTGCGTCATGGTGATTGGCCCAAAGATCATTGGCTTTATCCCCATCATGATGGTCGGCACTCTCATCTTCGACCTTGGCTTTGAGCTTCTCCTCGAAGCCGTGTGGCTTCCGAGGAAGAAGCTTAAGTTGGCTGAATATCTGACGGTACGTCGGTTGTCCATTGGGTACTAGTTTGTACTGACTCCCTAATCAGGTGATTGTAATTGTCCTGGTAATGGGCATTTACGACTTCGTCATTGGCATTGGTGTGGGCATCATCCTCGCATTCGTGTCACTAATCATTCAGACTTCGAGAGTATCTGCTGTACGAGCAAGCTATACAGGCGAAATCGTCGGCTCAACCGTACGCAGAAATCCCTCGCAGCATCACTACTTGCAAGAAGTTCGTCGACAAATCTACATTGTGAAGCTCACTGGTTTCCTCTTCTTCGGCACCGTAGTCAGTGTTGAGGAGAAGATTCGGGCTCTCATCGACGACAGTGCCTTCACAGAGAGGCCAATTAAGTATCTCGTTCTCGACCTGTACCACGTTACAGGTCTGGACTACTCTGCTGGTGAAGCTTTCAATACTATCAGCAGGTTGCTCGACAACAAGGGAATCGTCATGGTGTTGAGTGGAAAGGACGCAGAAAGCGAGGTTGGCCGCAATTTGCGGGCCATGGGACTGGGAAACGAGGGTAACGAAAGCATCGAAGTTACGTTGCTTCCGGATCTCAACTCGGCTCTGGAGAGCTGTGAGAACGAGCTACTCAAGACTCTATACACGAGCCAGGAGGCGCTCCACAATGGATCTCGTCACGCACCAACAGCGAACCTTGACGTCCCTTCGAAACCAGACCGGGGATCATTCGATTTGGTCATCAACTCGCCGAGACGCAACCATTTGCATGAAGCTGCCAAAAACGCGCTGGCGAACACAGAGTCTTCGGGAACGAAGAGGTGGCAGAGCTTTAAGGAGCCTCTGCGCTTGATGCTGCAGATCTTCCAGGGTCTGAGCGAGAGGAACGAAGACTTTTGGTTCCGGGCCGTTGGGTATTTCTCCCGGATGGAATACCAGGCCGGCACAGTTCTGTTCACAAGAGGTGAACCCGCCAAGGGCTTCTACCTCGTGGAGAAGGGCATCCTCCGCGCCGACTACGACATGCCGCAAGGCAAGCTTACGGAGAGCATTGTGGCGGGCACGACGTGCGGCGAGCTGCCCTTCTTCTCGGAGACGGACCGGACGGCCACGGTGACGGTTGATAGGGACTGCGTCGCCTGGCGGATGGACAAGGAGGGGTGGCAACGGCTGCAGAAGGACCAGCCGGATGTCGCACAGGAATTGTTGAGGGTGTCGTTGAAGTTGACGAGTGAGCGGATGTCCTCCATCACTTCGTACATCTTGACCACTGCTGGCTAAGCGCCTTACGGCTCAAGTATATCTCTCACGCGATCACCAAGCGCGGTTTACCGAGATACTTTTGCCTCTTTCTTTTCTTTACGTCATTGGAGTTGTCAGGATACTAAAAAAAAATTGTAGAGCAGGTTGTGTAAAAGGGGTCGGCTATTTTCTCGGTACATTGATTTTGGACTTCCCATTAGCGAAGGTTGTGTGCTATTTTACATACTTCTTGTTGTTGATAGCTTTTTTCTTCTTTTTGAAGTACCTACCTACCTAGACATCAGGCATTGCAGAGCGCGAATGCCTTTCCCTCTGTGCCAAGAAGCAAAACAAAAAAAAAATTTATTTGGACATCAAGAAGAGAATTGCTAGCCTTGTGCCCTTGACTCTGCTCTCATGTTCTTACCATTTGGGCTTGCGATAACCGGTCGTGGCAGTGACAAATTGTCAAGATGATGGGAAAAGAGACGAGTCAGGAAGAGACGATGTCTCGGTCGTTATACCGGGGTATCAGGGGTACAAACTAGGTATCCGCAGGTGGCTGAGACTTTTGGATGTCGTCGCCCAAATGTGGTTTGTTTTTTGTCTTGAGCAATGTTTTGGTGTCGTGTGCCTTGTTGTCTCGCATCACTCGCCGTTCACTTTTTCCATAGCTGTGGTGATGTTCACGCTGTTTGGCCCGCATTCCAGTATTCGATTGGTGGGTGGTCTTATCGAACGCCAGCTTCTAGCCTATAGTTGGAAATATTTTGGTATGCTGAGTTTGATATCTAGCTGTGTGCAACAGGATGACCCAGCTTTACATACAGCCTTGAGTGATTGTTGGATGGTTTCAATGTCGCAGTACCTTGTGTATTCCATATACCGTTCGATGTCTGATTCAGACTACTGCAACTCGGCGTTTATTACTCCCTTCTGAGAAGAAGTTGATGCCGTCTGTCAGACGGACGCGGGACGAAAACCCTCCCCTTTGATTCCATGGAATGGTTCATCTGTAACTTTCCGCCTGCTCGGTTTCCAGCGTCGCTAGGCCATACTACGTTTTCAAGGTCCATGTTCGGGACTTTCCGTGCAGAATCAGGGCGGGGGGTTAGAGGAGAGTGGGAAGAGAGCATCCCCGGTAGCCATGCTGTCTTATCCTGTGGGTTGGGAGCTGTCAGTACCTCGATAGCTCGTGGAGACGAACTCGTTCTCGCCAGCACGAAGCCATTTGATATCTTTTGTGCAAAATCAAGGGTCACACCATATCTCACGTTGCCTCGTCTGTCGAGGTTGACGATGTCGCCCCAATTACCGACCTCCACATAGAAAGATTCTTTACAGATTTGGTCTCTCGAGTCTCCTGGCTGGAATATCCAGGACCGGGACAAAGTAGCAGAAATACCTGATCATTCTTTGGCATTCAATAAAACTGAATAGAGCGGCACCTAAGAGTCAAACCACCAGCACAAGAAGATGACAGCTGTCGTGTAACAATAAGATGTGGCGTAAAAGCAGGCACGCACCTTCTTGTAAGTAATATTGAGGGACACTCGGCCCTGACTGAAACGAGCAAATAACGTAGTGAACCGTATGCAATTGTCACTTGGTCATACTTCCAGGAAATCACGTATACATAGAAGGCCTTGGAAAAGACTAAGACGTTACGTTCTTCCCGCGGCGAACCCACTCCCCAAGAGTTGGGATGTGTTCGCAAGAGACAAGAGCTCCCGAGATAGACCGCATGCAGGGTCACGATCTATGAGTCTTATGCGAGCCTCGAGTTTGGTGGTTACACAAGTCGCAGATACCCGCGAGATGGATGCCCGGCCTCCGGCATAAATTCATTAAGTGGGTTGTATCCTCAGCCACAGGGAGGCACGGGAGGCAGACCATAGGCATTGACTAACATCTGACCGACAGTAACGTGGCGTTTCTCGCGGCAAGACGCGAAGCTATATGGGAACTTCAACATGATAGCATTTACAGAGTCTTAGCCTTCGTCGAGCCCCGACGACGATATCATGTAGCATATGAATGGCAGATGGAGGATTCGGAACTGTTGAATATTTCCAATGCTTGCAATGACATCAGCGAGCTGTCGATCTCGGCTTTCGTACTTATTAAGGTAGTAGCAGGTTTTCCAGGTTGAGCCACGACCGATGTAGACCGGAAGAAATCATTCCAGACGAGCTTCTGCATTGCTTCAAACATACTCCGGTCTCCTTCACATAGCCACAGGGCTTGAATATGGTTCAAATGATGTGGGTAGAATGCTAAAGACACGAGAGGACAGTATGCCTTCTATCCTGCGATGAATACCACCGACACTGCAACACACAAGAACCCATAATGGAATAGAATCTTTGACTTTTGGTAGGCTTTGCGTGACAAGACAGCCCAAGAAGCTAAAGACTTCTTTCTGCATAAGGAAGTAGGAACAAGCAGCAGTTATCGTCCATGCTATGACCTCGCGAGGGAGAAGGAAGATGATGACTCTCAGAGGCAGTGGCGCGCGACGCGTCACTCCTGGAAGAAGTCATAGTATCTTCATTATGCTACGTGGAACGGAGATCAAATGGATAGAAGGGCGGGTTAACCACCGGGCAGCGTCAGGTGCGATGGCAAGATGTGCTAATCTTACCTTTAACTCTACATGGAGCGGCGCCGACCTGCTAGAACCTGGTTTCCGGTTTTTGAACGGCAGCGAAGTCTGGTAGTACCAAGCAGAGACGTGGAAACTCTGGCACCATCAGACTCGTCTGTACCTCAATACATCGGACCGGCACAAGCAAAGTAGGCTGTACACGATACGTCACGCTGTGTAAGTAGAAAGGAATATTTAGAGGCGGGCAAAACGCGCAACCGCGTAGCCGATGGTCTCGAGCGATTCTTAGCAAGCAAGTCGCCGGAACGTACCGAGGCCTGTTGTTGAAAGTTCAAGCAAAACACGGAACCCTTAGATGGAATAAAGTCACTTCGTCGTCAAGGAGACCACCCATTGATTTCGCCTACGCTTTCAACATGTGCTCTCACAGAGAAGAGAGTTCAGATGAACCCTTCACCCCTTTTAGGGCAAAACTTCATTGCGTTACATCCCGATGTCACTGTCCTTCCACAATGCCGTGCCGAGTTCTGGTTCTGCCTAATTTTTTTGGGAAATTAATGCGTGCCACATGGGGGCCGGATTCCGGATGGGGAGGTAGGGTTATACGACATAGCATTCAACACGATAATACATTGTGAAATGACGGTACTACCCCAGCTGGGATGGACGGGGAAACCCAGAAAAGGGGACGAGCGAAGGGAAAAAAGATGATAAAGATTTTTTCTTCTTTACATCGAATGCAGAGGAGCGGCATGCTCGGCCCGGCGCAACGACGACCCCTTTCAAGAACAGTTTGCAATACTGAACGAACCGATGATACTCACCAGCGAAGTTGCGGCTCTTCACCAGTTACCCTCCATCGAGGACTACCGTCAACTTATCAACCATCCAATGCCGCGCCCGTCAACTAGCTCACACAGCCCCAAAAGGTCTCGTCTAGCTTGAAAAACGACGATGAAGAAGAAAAAAAGTCAACCCCTCTTGCCGAAATGTTGCAATTCCCAACCTTCAATTGGACATAGGAGATGAACTCCAACAAAGAGTGCCGAGCTCTTCCGGGTTTGATGTTCGTCCCAAAATCATGCTCTTGGGGCACTGAGGTACCCTCTACCTGCCCGAACGGCCTTGGACGTCTGTCCGTATCTTCCATCCCAACCCTCTGTTCTAGAACTGTTCTATCCGATATTTAAGCTTTGTGCAACTATGCGAGAGAAGGAGGAACATTCCACCTGTCATCATCATCTTCTTCTTCTCCGAGTACTTTTGCCCGGTTCTTCACTACCACAACCTAGCCGAACCCACAAGACCCGAAAGCCGAATGAAGAACAGACGGAACCCGGAAGTTTTACAACTCTTATCCATGATTCTGGGCAGAATCAAAAGACCACGGAACCGGCCTTGTTGTCTCTTTTCTCCATCACGTAAATTGAACAGCATCTTGGCGCGGGCCCCGAGTTGCAGACTAACTGCTGATTAATAAAAATAATCCCTCTTCCAGATGAAAGGCAAGTCTCACGCAGCGCGCAGAAACCAAAACGCGGACGCCTCGTCGTCGGATTCGCCACCACCAACCCAAGGAACCTGGAAGGGAAAAAAGGGTCCCCCACCCGAATTCGACATCCGGAAAGGCGCGGCGGCGTACGTGCGTCAACGGCATAAAACTACGAGTGGAGCCCCCGGACTTTGACGTACCGGAAATCCCACGTTCACACACACACACACCCCCAGTCCAACCGTACAAACCTTCAACCTTATTATCTCTTTTCTCATTTTCTTTACTTTACCGAATACGCTCGTCAAAAACACATACCTAGCTAGAGAGATCGAGAGAACAAAAAAAAAAAAAGACACGAAAAAAGACAATGAGCTTGCGGTCAATACTAGGCGGCGGCCGAGTAAAAAAGCCAAAACCAAAGCCGAAGCCATCAGCTTCGCCACGGAAGAACAGCGGGACAAGTAGTAATAGCCCCCGCAAGTCCGCCGGCGGCAGCAGCAGCAGCACCAACAAAAAGAAGACCACCGCCACCCCATCAGACGTCCAAGATGACAACGGCTACTACGACGACAACGACGACGACTTTTTCCACGACAGGCTCGACGACGCAGGGCTCGTCGCGGCGCTGGCGACGGACATGTCGCTGCGCGACGTCGTCCAGGCCGTCAAGTACACCCGCACCCGCATGTTCGGCCCCGTCCCCACGGAGGCGGCCGGCATGAACTCCACGCGCATCGCCGAGGTGCTCAATTACCGCAGAGCCATGCCGGGCATAGTGACAACATCGCACCTCCATGCGCTCCTCGCCTCTCCAACGGCAGTGGAGCGCGAGGTCGCAGAGTTGCAGCGCGGCGGAGCGCTTCGCAAGATTTACGTGCAACGTCGCGGCGGCCTGGGCGAGGCCCTCATCCAGACGTCTGAACTGGAGGACATGATTGCCAAATCGGCCAAGTTAGACCAAGACGCAAAGACCGCCTATGTGAAGTTCCTACGGGAGAATCCCCTGGCGCAAACGATGCCGCGCCTGGCCTGTGGCGGCCACAAACAGGCCGACGCCCTGGTGCGGGCCGGGTTCCTGACATCCAGCATACATCCGCAGCACGTAAACACACCTTTGATGAACTTACATCTGCGCCCGGAGGACCGCGGTAGCCTGATGAGCATCCAGGCCGTCTCCCGCGCAGCGTCCGGAAGCTTCGACGCCGTGGGCGGGCAAGGAGGAATACACGCCGCGGGTGGTGGGGGAGGGGCGCCGCGTCTATCCCGCGGCGGCGGCGCCGCCGACGCGTCATCATCATATTCGGGGGCCGAATTCACCATCGCGGTGCCCGGGAACGGGTCGTTTCTAAAACTGACCGCCGCCGCCGTGGAGCACCTCACCCAGCTCCTGGCCAAGTCGCAATTTAGGGAGATGCCCGTGTCTATGCTCCGGGAGCGGTGGGAGGGTGGCGTAGCCCGTGACGAGGCACGCCTCGCAAGGAAGGCCAGGGGAGAATTCGCCGGCGTGCTGCCGGGGCGGACCAAACGATGGAAGGAGTTTTACGGTTTGGAGTTCAACTGGGTGTTGGAGGAGGCCATGGGCGCCGGTCTTGTGGAAGTCTTTGAGACACGGAGCGTAGGTAGGGGAGTCCGCCTGCTGTGATACAGGTGATCGTGAGACTCCCGGAGTCCGTGTACGCCGTGTACGGTTGTCTTGCGCAGCGGGGGAAAGGTTTTAAGCTTGATACCGTGGAAATCCCAAATGTTCTTCGACCAGTCGCCAGAGGCCCAATGTTGGGAAAACGACGTCGATGTAACCTGCCTCTTGACAACCTGCCGTGTCGCTTAGCGCCCTCACGTCGACTTGACTGGGATGCCATGACCGCCTCCTGGCATGTTCGTCCGAGTGTCGTTTCTCTGAAAATTCTTAGATAAGGAAAACAAAAAACCCATAGAGATGGAGCTTTTGTGGTACGTATAAGATACTTCGATCGAGTCAGTTGCCATTAGTTACTGCTAAGAGCATCTCTTTCGTAATTTAAGAAGAGAAATACTTCCCTACTCTCGAAATACATCATTGAACCGCTACAAAGACGGCAAACCCGTGAAGGTTGCGTGGCCAGCTTGAAAGGGGAACAAGCCTGTTGATTAGTGAAGCTTCCCCAGAACCCTGGCTCCCTGTCGATTGCTGCCAAGCACGGGATTTGTTGTAAAGGGTGAAGGGTCGCACTGGAAGGCGAGGCGGAGGGGTGATGCGGCTCCAGGTTCACCTAGGTAAATCCTAGGTATTGGGAGTTTGATCTTCCATGCTTCGCCCAGTTGCGGAGCAGCGTGCAACTGGACCAACGTTTAGACGAGAAGTGCCGGGTTTTTAATGCGACTTCGTTAAGTAGAAGACTCTTGAGTCATGGAACGGACCTGCGAGAGCCAGAGCATATTCGAATGTCAACCGCCTCTCATCCGTTCTTTGCATCGATTTGCGTGCTGCTGTCAAAAGTTGAAAGGCTTGGGACCTAAGGTGTGGTTGGTAGCAGAAAGCGACACACACCATTGTTTTGCCTCCACATGGAAGACCAAACAACACACTGCATTGGCGAAATCGCCAAAAATTTCGGGTTGTATTTGAGGTTTTCGAAACTTACACAAAGGCTGTGTGGAGAGAGAGACGATAGTGTATGTCCATCTGCAGCTAGTGTTCCAGAGTATAGTATTGTCCGGGCGAAAAGATGTTGGCTCACAATTGTCAAATTGTCATACCTCACTGCAGTCCACCATCCGAGGTCGGGTCCACGGGAGAGCATGGAAAGCTAATCCAAACTCACCCAATCAGCCAAGATACTTCGGATGTCATGGCAGCCGCGCAAGAGTCAAGATATCTTGCCTAGTCAGGATCTAGAGAGCTCGTTAATCAAAAGAGCGTTTGTTCAAATTCATCAGAGATCGTCAGAGAGAACATGATCCAAGATCGACTGTTGCCCGGTAGGCTAACGTAGCTAAGCTTACCAGGGCAAAGTGCTCGAAACTTCAACTTTCTCCTGGGGGCGTAAGACGTTGCAGCTTGCCTGCGTGCATTAACCAAACGTAGAAAAAGCAATTTTGAGGTGCAGTCTGGGGGACGGATACCGACTTTGAGTCCCAGTCAGACGTAGTGAGGTAAATTGAGCTTGGGCCATCGTCTGTGCTTCTATTTGAGCTCGTGGAACGCTCGCTTTTGAAGGACGTCCAAGTTCCAAGGCCCTCGGTCCTATGTTGATGTGGACAGAGGATCGAGGTGCTAAGCATGGTGAGGCACTTGCGCAACCATCCTGCGACGTGGGAATGCGGAGACGGAGCAACGCATAATGTCAGGTTCATCGGATGACGGGAACACAAAAGTACGGGGTAAGGTCTGGCAGTGATACATGAACCTCCGGCACAACGGCTCGCCGAGAGTGCCCCGGTGTCGGGGGTTCTGCCATCCCGCCCGTTATTCTCTGAACGTTTTCTGCTCGGCCAACAGATAGATTGATGGCCTGAGCCCTAGACTCAGAGATGCAATGTCCAATGCCAATTCAAAGGAGGAGGGGCTTCGTAGGATTCGTGCGACGGGCCCAGGCTCTGGAGATTGCCAGACCAGGGCCATGGTCGGGTTGTGCTTCATTGGCGAATGAGATTCGGCGGGGAATGGACGAGGCTGCAGCGGTGCAGCTAAGGTGTTTGTTGTCACACAGACTTTTACGCCAACAGCGTCTTCTCCAACTCTGGGTCGTGCTAGGAAGCTTGCCGGAGACGGCTCCTGCAGACGTGCAGAAAGTGTAGCATATGATGGCTGTTACCGACGTCTTAGTTCGGCGTGTCTAGTAGAAGATTTGCGCACGGGGACGCCACACATGGCAGCTCGTTGGCTGGAAGAGGTAGTGATGTGATGGCATCCGGAAATTACAGCGTGGTCCGTCCATATGGGGGTCTCTGGCAATTCGCAGACGTTGTTTGATTGCAACCACGGTTGGGCACTTTAAAGTGTTTGCCCCCAGTCATTCCATTTGCCGCGCTCTGTCCAATTGTTGATCGAGTCAACGTTGTCGCTGAATCTGTGGATTCGGGGACAGATCGAGAAAGCACCGAGGGTGATGGGCGGGTCTACGGAGTAGAGGAGGCCTGGAGGATGGAGATGGTCCATGGATAATGGGAACCCGAGCTGTTGGTGCTCGTGGAAAATCCGTACGAAGTAGGCCTCTTTTGGTGGCGGTGGTGCAGTGACGCGTATCCGTAGCCATCCTGTGCTACCCAGAACACATACTTTGCACAAATTTGCGAGAGACAAAGAAGCAGACATGTGGCAGCACCGTGTCTCGGCGTGGGATGGACAGGTGAGGCTGCGCAATATCACCACAGGTCGTTACATGAGCACATTGTGCTCTGGATGCTGACGGCGGATTCTTGCTGCTGTTGCTGCTTGCTTGAGGGTTGGAAAGCACGCGCATATGCGTGGGACGGTGGTACGAAGCTCGCACATGTGCATCCGCGTCTTGTCGTAGATCAAGTGCCGTCGGTCCCAGCGAGGAAGACGATCCATCATCCCACAAGCTCTCTCTCGCAGATGCAAGCCAGTTTGGGATTTGACAGCAGGGGCCTTTGAAGTATCCCGAGACCTAGAGACCAAGTAGCGGCCAGGAGTCAGGCCACAGAGCGTCGTGGCTTATCATCCATGGTCGATGAGGGAGGGATATAGTAGTGCCGTGTCTTGGGACTTGTGCTTTGTGCTGTGCGAAGCAATGGCCGTGGTCCAAGTGCTCGCGCAGTCTCTCGCGATTAAAGGGGCGTCCCAATGTGCTGAGTACCTCTGATGGTGGTAGCTCGTGGCGGCACCGTGTATATGCTGGGACTAAGCTGGAAAGGGATTCCCCCCTTGCTGTTCCTGAGTTGAGCGATGGTCCTTGCAGGGGATGCGACAGGGATAGAATCTCCAAGTCTGGGTACCAATTTGACGATGAGCAGGCTAGCGAGGGAAAACTTCCTGGATTGGGCTGCGGGCGTTTTGATGAGTAGTGTATCTCTTGGACGTTGTCTTTAGTACCTGACTAGTTACTGATGGGGAACCAGTTCGTGACGGATTGGAGGAAGAGAGAATACCTAGGGCAGAAGAGAGAAATGGTGGGTTTTTTTTTTTCGTGTCAAGGCCGGCGAGAGTTGCACGTGCTAATCGAACCGTGAATAGCGGGGAGGGGATGGGGAAATCTCAACTGTGTTGCACGCCCTTCTCAGCCCTGGCCGGCCAGCTGGAGGGGTGAAAAGGAAATGTAAGTGTTGAAAGGGAAAAATCAGAGACGAGGGAATGACACAGACACGAGAAAGACAAGCGATAAACGGGGGGGGGGGGGCAGGACCGCAACTTGCAAGAGACCAGGGGAGGCAACATCTCTCCCTCCTCCCCTTTTTGTGTTTATTGGTATTTGGCACGAGTATTTCGTACATGGATATTGCCCATCTCACCCGTGACCCCGGTTACATCTTGTCTTTTCCTTCCTTTTCCCCCTTCTCATGCCACGAGCTCTTACTTCTGGGGACTACGGAGTAGACAAGCTCGATTGAATCAGAGACGATTGTTTCCTTCACGATTTGCAGTTATCACGTCCCGCAATCTTACTTGACGCCGATATCGAGGATCGTCACTTTGTCACTGGTTTTGGCAGCTTATCCCTCTAATCCTATTGCGCAATACTCCCCGTTGTCGGCATATCCAAGCACAACTTTTTGTGGATTCCTCACAAGCTCCCGACCAGAAAAAGCAAAGAATGGTTTAACGGTACGTATAGGGGTCCACTGTTCTTTTACACTCCTGCACCCTGTCATCAGTCCGCTACTTTGCCCCGGGCAAGTAGGACCAACGAAGAGAGGAGGAGACGACGGAGAGGAGAAGAGGACGAGGAAGGTGGCAGCAGCAGCAGCAGCAGCTCTCTCTCTTTTCCAGGTTCTTTCCCACTTGTAATAATACCTAGCAAAAGGGAAAAGGGAAAAGGGAAAGAAAGAACGTCCAACATTGGACATCCGCCGCATCGAGGACGCGCCTAACACGGACCAGTCAACAGACCTTGGGCTTTCGAGGAAACGATACCACTGGTCTGGACTATCCGACTTTCGACCTCTTTCACTTCCAAAGTCCCCCCCCTCTCCTGCCAGCCGCCCACGTTTACTTCGTCCACTATCCGTACCTTACGTTTAGTCGTCTACTTCCACGACCACACGTCCAGATCGCTCCCAACTTATCCGACGGACCTGTCTAGTACCTTCAGCCACTCCTTTTTTACCTTCCTCGCAGTCCACGTCTTTGCACACAGCGACCATTTCCCGCTTACATTGCCGTCCACTGCACTAATCGCACCGAAACGCACTTTTCATCACCACATTCACTCACGCCTTCTCCATCTTCTCGGCCAAACACTCCTTCCTCATCTCGCCTCGCCGTGCGCTTCTACCTCACGCTTTCCCTCTCCTTTCCCTTGACTGTTGACTGTGGGAACGCCTCAATTAAGTTGACTCTTCGCCTTGTTCGATTTCGCCGCCGCCGCCTCTTCCTTACGGATACCTTAACTTACCTCACGGATACTCCGCCAAGACCAAGAGACGCAAACAAGCCCACCGCTCGAGACTCGGATCTCTCCTTTCCACAAACCATCGCAACTCCATCGGCATCACAGAGCTCATCGCATCCGCCAGCTCTCAGACTTGACGCAATTCCGTCCCAACTGTACCTTACCGCGGCCCCTTTCGAATATCTTTCCGCACTTCGTCACCCAAACTCTGTGGGATTGTTTCCTACTTGTCCTTTGTGAAGCTCAGACGCTCCGAAGCTACAGCGAATCCGCGTTCGCAAATCCCGCGCCCAGCGCTGCTGTCGAAACATTTCCACTCGACGAAACCAACCCCTTCCCTTCCTCCCGCGTCCACCTCAATTTTTTGCCTTTCCCCGACCTGCCGCCCAATCTGAGTACCCGTCGCCATCCCAGTCCTGCGACTCTAGCTGCGCGAGACACCAGAGGCACCGTGCTCTGCAGACAGACGAAAAAGAACACCCAAGCCGTACGCCGCGCGCCGCCCGCTAGCG